CGGATGCGAGCTGGTGTCCAGGCACCTCCGCGGGCGGCGGGCCTCGGGCTCTGCCGCGGCAGCCGCCTCCTCTCCCGCTGCGGCGGCGGGCGACAGTCCGGCGCTCATGACAGGTGAGGGCCCGGGGGGCGGCGGGCGGGGTAAGGCCGGCTGCTGCGGGACCCCCATCCCCGGGAGGGGCCCGTGCCCCTGCCGGGCGTCCGCTATACGACTGCCACGGTCAGTGCGCGATGCGGAGCTGGGCGTCCAGCCGCCAGCGCCCTGGCCGCTGCTTCGTCGTGGTCCCCTACAGTCCGGACGCCTTTTTCCTCCCCACCTCCCCCACTCCCGACACCCCGCCCTCGACAGAGCCTCTCGACGGCACTCGCTTCTCCGCCCTACAGTCGGGCTCCCCGGTGTTGCTCGCTGAGCAATGCGGTGGTTTCTCTTCGGTGCTGAAGAGCCAGCAGGGTCTGCAGGGTACTGGGCTGATTTTTTTTTTTTTTTAAGCTGCTGCAAAAAGTCAGCAGCAGCACTGCGGTATTTAGTCGGCCTGTGGTGCTGCTTTTGCAAAGGCAGCTGGCGGCGAGTCTCACAGGTTCAAAGCCCCGCTGAGCACAGTGTCCCAGGGGAGGCTGCTAAAGAGGATTCTTTGAGAGCCATAATACCTAGTGGTATTAGTGATTCCGTATTAGTATGCGGAAACCTCTAAATCTAATGTGTATTTTTGGAGGGGTGGGAGGAAGGTTTTGAAGGATGGGAAGTATTTGCCGCTGGGAGCATCACTGGGGGATAAAGGGTGCAGAAAGCTCTTCAGGTAACCAGAAATATACCTAAAATTTGTCACGTGCAGGATATTCGTTTCGGGGCTTGTATTTGAGCAGCACGATTCTGCTAGAGTGCACCAGCACCTTTGTAATATAGAACGTTCTCGAAATTATTGAAAACTTGCGAACATGTTTGGTAAAGTTAGATAGAAAATTGAATCCATTTAAAGCCTTCCAGGGTCATGTACAACTGATACGTGTGGTTTAAGTAATGATGTAGGGATCTTGAAACGATTTCTTTTGGAAAAGTAGTGGAGCTACAGTTTTTTTTTTTTTTTTTAAATTTTTGTACTGTATTTTTAGTATATGTGCTGCCGAAGCGAGCACTTTTGTACTGTATTTTTAAAAGTCATCAGTAGGTTTCCTACATTGATTGCAACACTAAAAAAAAGTAAAGTGGAACAATATGACCCATCATTAATTTAACCAAAGTGATAGTCCAGCAGGCGTCTGAAAGTAACAGCTGCTCTGGGAAGTGCTCAGTAGCTATATTCTTTGGAGCAAAGCAACTATTCTCTGGGTTCTATGACAGCGTGTTTGCTATTTTAAAGAGGAGGGTGTTGGTGAACTTTGTCAAGCTCTTTGGAAGTTGGGTAGAACATAATGATCAGAATATTTAACTTATTTTACCCTGAAACATATCAACCTCTTTTAAGTGAAACTTGAAACATCAAACCTATCAGTGGTTAATTTGGATAAAATGATTACAGAATGATGAGTATTAGGAGCATAGTATAGTTTGAGAGGATAGGTGGAATAACTTTATGCTTGAACAGTCTTAATTCTCCAAATACAACTGTGGCAGATAAAATGAAGAATAGTGATTTTTAGGAAAGTAGCAGGATAAAACTAATTGCAAAGGTTAGGGAAAGTAGCAAAATAAAACTGACTGAAGGTTTAAAGCCTCATGCAGGAAGGGAGGGAGCAGAGATACTTGGGCTTCTATAAGGTATAGGAGCATGACTCTTGGTTTCTTGAGCAGAAGAGTTCGATTAATAAATAATTGGCTAATGTTTTGTCAGTATGTAATTGGTAGGAGGGCATGTGATTCAGAAAATTTAGTATTTTCTAACCAATAACAATACAATGTATAGTATATAGGTTATAGTATATAGGTTATAGCAAGGAGATTACTTCAGGTGGAATTTTAATTAGCTGTTTATAATCCTTTTTGAAGATTTAAATTTCTCTTGAGTTAGTTATGGCATCGTGAACAAGGAAAGGTGATTGTTATTGAATAAAAAGTGTGATCACACAAAGTGAGTTTGTGCTGTAGTGCTTTAAAATAAGTTTACAAAAATAATATTAACTCTGGAATTTATTTTGAATGTTTTTATTCTTTCCCTTTGTTGGGATATTAATTTTTAACAAGTTAAACATTTCCATTTCAGATTTAAGATAAACAGACTACACATTGTGCAGGTTAAATTGTCATTTTAACAAGTTTATGTAAATACAGTCAATAGCACTGATACCTGGGAAGTGGTAAATTGAAGTCTGTAATAAAGTTGGAGCATATTGAAAATTTCTTTGAGCTATGTATATGCTCTCCTCTATAGGGCTCCTTCCCATTCTGATTGTGTGAATAGCGCTTTCTTTAATGGTTTCCACTTGTAAATGTTATGCTAAGCCCCAAACATAATAAATTATTGTTATTGTACACTTCAGGAAGTAGAACCATAGACTGTACTTAAAAAATACTGTGTTATATTCTGGGCAGCATTAATGGAGAGAAATGGGGTAGAGAGCAATATGTAATAAAACTAAGCTACATGTGAATTTTGAAAGTGGAAAATTCTTGAAACAATTCTGAGAGAAGAATTGTACTCTCGCTCTGTATTAAAATTGTCATTTAACTGTGAGTATTCTTTTTTTTTTTTTTTAAAGATTTTATTTATTTGACAGAGAGACACACAGCGAGAGAGGGAACACAAGCAGGGGGAGTGGGAGAGGGAGAAGCAGGCTTCCCACCGAGCAGGGAGCCCGATGTGGGGCTCAATCCCAGGACCCTGAGATCATGACCTGAGCCGAAGGCAGATGCTTAACGACTGAGCCACCCAGGTGCCCCGAGTATTCTTTTTTTTTTTTTTTTTAGATTTTATTTATTTATTTGAGAGAGAGAATGAGATAGAGAGGGGGGAGGGTCAGAGGGAGAAGCAGACTCCCCACTGAGCAGGGAGCCCGATGCGGGACTCGATCCCGGGACTCCAGGATCATGACCTGAGCCGAAGGCAGTTGCTTAACCAACTGAGCCACCCAGGCGCCCCCCGAATATTCTTAATAGCTCTGAAAGTGATAGCCAAAATCACATCTTCTCTTTTCCTCTACAGATTGGTATTTTTAATATTTCAGCAACATCATAAAGAGTTTGCCTCTTACTAATAAAATGTAGAAAGCACTCTTTTCCAGTGAATTTTGCCTCTCAAGAGTTTTACTTTCGAGGTTTAGTGTATTTTAAGAACAAATTGCCTTTAAGTCATCTGTTGCATGCTTAATTTTGAGTAAACAAGTGTTCTTACAGAGACTGAGAAATCGTCAAAATAAACAGACTCACCGTCATAATGAATATTGGTTTATATTTTCCTTTTTATATTACGTTTTCAGGATTGGGTGTGCAAATGTTTTGATAAGGTGAAACCAATATTTATAGTGTGGTAAAGGCTTAAATTATATATACATATATATCTTTAGGGCTCTTGCTTTGAAAGTGATAGAAATTTAAAGCAAGTTAGGGCTTGGTGACGAAGAGTTTGTTGATTACAGTCTTAAGACAGTGCTTTAATAATTCAAAGCATTATTATTATTATTATTATTGTTATTATTATTATTTGCCTAACAGATTTAGAATCAATGAATTGATCCCAATGGAGAGTGATTGATCTTATCCAGATATGGTCTCTGAAAAATAGTTTATGAAAGGGCAAGGAAAGGGCAAAGAATGCACACATGCAAATATGTCATGTGTGTATATGTATATATAACAGTTCTTTATTCTGGCAAAGTGTGCACAATACAGTTAACCGTTGAACAGCGAGGTCAGGGGTGCCAACCTGTGCAGGTAAAAATCTGAGTATAACCTTTCACTCCTCCAAACTTACCTAGGAATAGGAATACTAGTGACCAGAAGCCTAAAGTAAACAGTTGATTGACACGTGTTTCGTTTTTGTATTATATACTGTAAGTTAGAGTAGAGAAAGCGTTATTAAGAAAATCATAAGGAAGGCAAAATACATTTACAGTACTGTACTGTATAGAAAAAAATATGTATATAAGTGAACCCACAAAGTTTAAATCCACAAAGTTCAAACAAAGTTCAAGGGTCAACTATAATTGAAACATTTCTTTTTTTTTTTTTTAAAGATTTTTATTTATTTATTTGACAGAGAGAGAGATAGCGAGAGCAGGAACACAAGCAGGGGGAGTGGGAGAGGGAGAAGCAGGCTTCCTGCCGAGCAGGGAGCCCGATGTGGGACTCGATCCCAGGACCCTGGGATCATGACCTGAGCCGAAGGCAGACGCCCAACGACTGAGCCACCCAGGCGCCCTATAATTGAAACATTTCAAACATGTTTTCTTATAGGTAGTTGTTTCAGAATTTTTTAAAACAAATTTTAGCTTCAGAAATATTTGCGTCTATCTTTTTCAAAAATGAATTAATGCAACCTTCTTTAGTGCCTCTGTTAAGGTTTACTATAATACTTTTCATTAGTTTGGTATGATATTAGGAATATCATATTTTAAAATATGTCTTTTGGAAGTATTAAAATTTCAGTGAAAACTTAAAATATTATTAATTTGAAGGTATACCTTTTTGAAAGAGCCACTCTACTCATTAGTATTAAACACATCTATGTGGTGGGGTTTTTGTTAATTTAGATGAAAATACTTCACATGAGCATGATTATCATTGTAAAAAATCCTAAGGTTCATTTTTAAGTATCTCACCTTGCATGCCTAACATTTAACTAGGAAATGTCGCTTTTTTTTTTAATTAGTATTGGCTTGAGTGTAGTTTTATATGAGGACTATTATACAATAATTTTATAGTGTTAATGTTTAGATTATGACAATAGTTAAACTCCCAGTGTAGTTCACATAGTACTAGAAACCATTGTTCCTCTTTTTGTGAAATTGCTCTTCCTGAATTTAGCTTCTGATTTTCTGAAGCCACCTTTTGATGGCTAGGTCTTATGCTGTATTCTCTTTTGCCTTCCCAGGTAGTTATGATTACTAGTCCTTTTCTTCATCATTCTTTGGCCATTGCTATAGGGGTTTTTCTTTTCTTTTCTTTTTTTGTTTTGTTTTAT